CAACATTTCTGTGGTTAAGTGAAACATTTGCTCAGCGAGTTTTGCCTCGTTGTACTTTCTTGCCGCTGCTGTTAAGTGAATCACCGCAGTAGATAACATCGGTAACCCAATTGTTAAGTGAAAATCCGGCTTCCTCAGTGACTTTACTGGTCAGAAGGTCGCAAAAGGGAATCACGTGATCTTGGGACACTGCAACCATCATAAATACGAACCACTTGCTGAGCATCTGAATTTTGATCACGTGACCACGGGGATGCTGCAAAGGTCGTAACTCTAAAAAATGGTCCTAAGTCACCTTTTTTCAGTGCCCTTGTAACTCTGAATGGTCTGTCAGGGCTCTGGCAGTTACCCCAATTAAATAATTGGTCTCGAGCCAAACTTCCAAAACTTCAAAAGGATTTGAGACACACAATTCATTGTCACCCTTGACCCTGGTTTTCCCCTACCCCCTGGGTGTATCATAATTCATATTCTCCAATGGGACACTTCCATAGCCAAGAGTCATCAGTCATGTTCTCCAGTTAGAATTTTGCGCAGCAGAAACTTCAGTCACCTAGGTACTATCTATGAAGACATTTATGGAATGCACTTTCGGTTTTGTAAGCTGCCGCACTGCTCCCCCCTCCCTTTCTGTTGGCAACTCTAAAAAGACCAGAGAAATATTTTATGAGTTGACACAGTCACTAAGTGAACTGTTGTAAGTCGAGGGCTGCCTGTATTTCCTGAAACCGTCTGCCTCATAGACTGTTTCCTAACTAGTCCCCCTTCTCTAGGTGTTCCCTGTTGAGTCAAACGCACCTACCAAGCATTCCATCAACAGGCGCTTTCTCCTAGATCTGTCCGCTCGTGTGCCCGGCCACGTGCCCCTAGCGATACCTTTCCTCCCTCTTTCCTGGGGGAAAAAAAAAGCCAACAGGAGCGTCGACTGTAATATCACGCGGCCTGTTTTGCGTTCCAATTTTTCTGTTCGACTGCAGAGCCGAGGCCAAGATAGCGGGGTATGTAATGGACACCCTCCGTCAGCTGTTTTCCTCCTCGCCGGCAGACAAGAGGCCGATTCATAAGGCTCCTTTTTATCCTTGGGAGGGTGAATAAGTAATTATTCAATATCGAGAAGAGCGGCTATTTGGAAGCCTCTATTGAATGTGGCAGGATGGACATAATGAAACCTGCCATTTCTGGCGACCCGAGAGAGGAATGTAACAATTCTAGCGTGGCTGGTAACTTTATCCAGATGGACGTTTCTTTGGCACGTCAACCGGCCTTTTCTCCCGCTGACTGGCAGCTCCTGAAGGGGTTGCATTGACGTGCCTTCTATCCTGCATTGTCATTTTTTTAACGGCAGACAAGCTCCAGTGGGAGCGGACCGTAATTTGAACCCGCTTTTCTATAGAGCCAAGGCGAAGAGATAGTTGATCCTGACTATTGTAGCATAACGCGCCCGGTGACTTAGAATTTGCTTACGGGGGGGAGGGGGGATAATCTTACTGATTGCAATTAAGAGGATGGGTGGGGGGAGTTGAATTTGGACAGGAATATTTATTTATTTATTTTTATTTATTTTGTCAAGTGATTATAAGATAACAGGTATAAGTATAAACATAGTTATGACTACATGAAACGGATACATATAAGAAAAATAAAAGAAATAAAAGAAACAATAGGACAGGGACGGTAGGCACGTTGGTGCGCTTATGCACGCCCCCTACAGACCTCTTAGGAAAGGGGTGAGGTCAATAGTAGACAGTCTAAGGTTAAAGTTTTTGGGGTTTGGGGAAGAAACCACAGAGTCAGGTAGAGTATTCCAGACATTGACCACTCTGTTGCTGAAGTCGTATTTCCTGCAATCAAGTTTGGTGCGGTTTACCTTGAGTTTGTATCTATTGTGTGCTCTTGTATTGTTATGGTTGAAGCTGAAGTATTCATTGACAGGTAGGACATTGCAATATATAATTTTATATACTATACTTAGATCAGACCGAAGGCGGCGTAATTCTAGGTTTTCTAGGTCTAGAATTTCAAGTCTGGTGGCATAAGGTATTCTGCAACGAGTAGAGGATGGAGCGGATACTGTGTGTCTCCTTCTCTGTGTCAATGTGACACTCAGACATGGAGTCTTAGTGGACAACCAGCTAAATATGAGCCAGCAGTGTGCAATAGCCGCCAAAAAGCCAACGCAATCCTAAATTGCATTAACAGAGAGATACAATTGAGATCAAGCAAGGTACTAATACCACTCTATAAAGCCTTAGTAAGACTTAGTAACACCAAGAATACTGCAACCAGTTTTGGTCACCGCACTATAAAAAAGATGTTGAGACTCTAGAAAAAGTACAGAGAAGAGCAACCAGGATGATTAGGGGACTGGAGACTAAAACATGAAGAACTGTTACAGGAACTGGGAATGGCTAGTTTAGTAAAGAGAAGGACCAGGGGAGACATGATAGCATCTTCCAATATTTGAGGGGCTGCCACAGAGAGGAAAGGGTCAAGCTATTTTCTAAAGCACCCGAAGGTCAGACAAGGAATAGTGGATGGAAACTGAACAAGGAGAGATTTAACCTGGAAACAAGGAGAAACTTTCTGGCTGTGAGAACAATCAACCCATGGAACAGAAGTTGCCTTCAGAAGTTGTGGGAGCTTCATCACTTGAGACTTTTAAGGAGAGATTGGACTGCCATTTGTCAGAAATGGTGTAGAGTGTCCCGCTTGGGCGGGGGCTTGGACTAGATGACCTACAAGGTCCCTTCCAACTCTGATGATCTGTTATCTATTTTTTTTTAATGCCAGGAAGATGATGTCGGCTCCCTGTCATTGTCACTGTTGTTCTTGGCCTTGTCAAGATCACAGATCAGAGTGAATGCTAGAATCTGTGACCTGGTTCTAAATGTTCATAAAAGAGATCATTGTAGATTTTAGAAAGATCCGGCATGGTCCTACTCCGCTCAGTATCAAGGATGCAGCTGTGGAGGTGGTCAACAGTATTAAGTATCTGGGGGTACAGATAACTAAATGCTGAATGTGTTATATAAAAATGCTGAATGTGTTAAACCGCTTCACGGTGCTTTACTGCGCTCTCTCAAGCGGTTTACAGAGTCAGGCCTCTTGCCCCCAACAATTTGGGTCCTCATTTTACCCACCTTGGAAGGATGGAAGGCTGAGTCCACCTTGAGCCTGGTGGGATTTGAACTGCCAAATTGCAGTCAGTCGGCAGAAGTAACCTGCAGTACTGCATTCTAACCACTGTGCCATCCCTGTGTCAGGGCTCCGACAATCCACCCCCATTCAAAACTTAAGTCTCTAGCCGCATCTCTCAGAGTTAAAAAAAGAAAAAAAAAAAGATTTATTAGGAGTGACCATGTCGGCGTTACCTGGGTGCAGCCGACACTAAGATACATCGTTCATCTCACCCTTGACCCTGGTCTTCCCCCACCTCCTGGATGTATATTCTCCAATGGGACACATCCATAGTCAAGAGTCATCAATCATGCTCTCCAGAAATAACCTTGCACACCAGAAGCTTCGGCCACCTAGCAATTATCTTATGAAAGTATTTAAGGTGTGCGTTGCTTCCCCCACTCCCTTTCTGCTGACAACTCTAAAAAAACCAGAGAGATATTTTTGAGTTGACGCCCAGCTCGTGAAGATCGGCTGGATGACTTTGAGCCAGGCATTAAGAGATAGTGAGTTCTAGTCCTACCTTAATCATGAAAGCAAGCTGGATGACTTCAAAAATTGGACATAACTAAACCAACAAAAAAACATACTTAACCATCATCTTCTTTTAATGACCCCATAAACCTTTGCAGGGTGGAGTCAGGCAACTGAATGGAGCTGAGTGCTTACTGGCCGGATGCCCTTCCTGTCGCCCATGCAGAGTTTTGTTCAGCAGATATATATTCTCAGTGTGCCCAGAGAGAGAAATACCTGTCTCTTCCTAGGATCAAACTCACAGCCTCCTGATTGTGAGGCGAGAGCTCTACCTCTAGGCCACTGCACCGCTCCCACGTTTCACGCTTAATGAAATGTTGAGTTGAAATGTTAATTCCTGTTTGAAAAATTGCAATCAGATTAAAAAGGAACTTTTTCTAGAAGGGGGAAAAAGATTGCCAAATTAATATCTGTCAGAGTCTATTCTTGAACTAGAAGAGAGCTTAGGAACAAGGTCAACCAATGAGAGCTGAGTTGGGGGCTGAATCTGGGCGTGGTTTATCTCAGGTCTGTGCTCAGCTCTAAAGTGAAAAAGAAACTAGCTTGCTTGCAAAAACTTATATCTGTTCTGAGCCCTCTGAGTGGCTGCTTGTGTTTTTCCTTATGTTACGTTGAAAGAATCTGTTAGGAATACAAGTCACCTAACAGGTATTTGGGTTAGAAATATATAAACCAGGATAGACATTTTAAAACTGTATCTTTAAGAAAATGCAAAACTGTAATTAGGTGTGGTTTCTCAAATGGCCATAAGATGGAGCCAGAAACCTGGTTAGTCTGAGTCTCAGAAGAGAGTGTAAGTGTATCTCTGTTTCCTTCTGTTGGAAAGTATTGCCGTTCCTCCATTTCTTCTAATTGACTGATATTACTGGATTTAATGTAAATCTGTTACTGAACTGTTTTTTGACACTGGACTTTGATATTTGGATTATCCCTGGATTGAAAACTGACTGATTTAACTTGTGAATGATTTTGGATTGCTTGTTTGGACTTTGCTTAACGTTTCTGGAAGTAAAAAACCTACATTTACTGTACAGTGTATCTGTGTGCTGTGTGTGTATTATTCAAACACTCCTCTCAAATACATCTCCCTGAATGCGCTCATTCTCCTAACAGGGAATTACCTCAACAGAATCTACACATGGTCTTGTAAACTTTACTCATGTCAATATGTTTATAAAGAACTTAATGATCCTGCTGAATCGGTCATCTGTGTGTTTTCTGGATTTGAATTTCTGCTGCAAACTCTTAACAATACCTTTAATGGGATGTTGTTTTTCCCTAATTTGCAGCCTTCCAGTCCCTGCATGACGTGTTCCTGCTCCGCCATCGAGCAAAATGCCTCAAATGCCGCTGAGGCCAAGAAGGAGAATGGAGGGAAGTCCCCCATCCCCAAAATATTTTTTGGCACCCGAACTCACAAGCAAATAGCTCAGATTGTGAAGGAGCTGCACAGGACGGGCTACTCAAGCGTCCGCATGACCATTCTGTCAAGTAGGGAGCATTCCTGCGTCCATCCGAGGATCTCCCGAGGCAGCAACAAGAATGAAAAATGCGCTGAGTTGCTGGAAGGAAAAGAGGTGAGTGGTTTCAGGACAATAGAACTGGAAGGGATCTCGGAGGTCTTCTAGTCCAACCCGCTGCTGAAGCAGGAGACCCTATACAGGTAGTTCCGGTCCTGGTATCACGTGATCCCCTTTTGTGACCTTCTGACAGGCAAAGTCAAATGGGGAAGCTGCATTCACTTAATAACTGTCTTACTAATATAACGACTGCCGTGATTCGCTCGACCACTGTGGTAAGAAAAGTCATAAAACGGGGCAAAACTCACCTAACAAATTTCTCACTTGTCAACGTATATTTTGGGTTCAATTGTGCTTGTGAGTTAAGGACTGTCTGTAATCCCTTTTTTTCCAGTGCCGTTGTCAGGTCTCTGGCATCCATCCCCATTCAAATCATGAGTCTAGCCGCATGTCAGCCTTCAAGATCTTCTACCTTTGCTTCACATCTTTCGGCTGCCATAAGTAACGGGGGGAGGAGGGGGGACAAGTATGGGAAGCGAGCTGGAGGTGGTCCACACTGGCATTGTATAAATTGAGGAGGAGGGAGAGTACATTCTTGCTTAGGTTTCTATTTCTCGCTTAGCTTTCTTTTCTCTGCGCAGCTGCAAACTTTTATCAAAGTATGCCAAGGTCAACGGACAGAGGCCTCATCACCACCTGAAGTTGTCCACATGATCATATTCACAACTTTTAATTGGAAGAATCATTTGAACTATTGGGGGTGGGATCATTTCCATCACTTTGTATATGTGATTTACACGCCTAATTCTTCAGATTCAGAATTCTATTGCAGCTACCACTTTTATTTCCAGTAAAAGATATCTTTTCTCTAACTAAAAGAGTCTAAGTATTTCTTTCTTGGATTTTGAATGGAGCACAGTCTGACACCGCATCTCTCAGAGTTACAACCCCCCCCCCTCAAGATTTATTAGGAGTGAACATGCTGGCGCTACCTGGGAGCAGCCGACCCTGAGACACATCATTCATTTCCTCCTTGACCCTGGTTTTCCTCCCCATCCTCCAGATGTATATTCTCCAATGGGACACATCCATAGCCAAGAGTCATCAATCGTGCTCTCCAGTAATAATCTTGCGCGCCAACAGCTTTGGCCGCCTAGCAATTATCTATGAAAGCATTTAAGGAATGCACTACTCCCCCCGCTCCCTTCCTGCTGTCAACTCTAAAAGACCAGAGAATTTTTTTTTTTTTTTGAGTTGACAGCCGTTCTAACTTCGTACGGTCACTAAAGGAATGGTTGCGACTTGAGGACGACTCGTACATGAAGGTGCGTGGTTGTTCTTTAAACTTCCTCAATTGTCTGCTTTCAGGGCGTGTCTTGTTCCTTTTATCATGGAGCCCACAGGCTTACTGAGTATCTCTCCATACCGTCTGCGGATAAAAAACATCAGGCTTGGGATTTAGAAGAGCTGGTGAGCTTGGGAAAGAAATTCCGATCCTGCGCCTACTTTGCAGCACGTGAGCTCATGGTGTGCGCCGAGATTGTGTTCTGCCCTTACAACTACCTTTTGGACTCCCAGATAAGACAAAGTGTGAGTACAAATATCTTCTATTGCAGGGGTTCCCCAAAAACAGGGGGTGCTTGCGAGATAATATTCCAAGGGGTGCCAAAACTTGGGTTTAGAAGTTTCAAAATTATAGTGTATATGTATAAGTATATGTTGCAAACTATCCTAAAAATACGGGTTCCAAGGTGTAGCTATAAAAGAAGAGACTGACCTCATGATCTCCGGAACTTAAATATATATTATCCACTTAGCTTTCCTTAGCCTCTGCTAACATCGTCAGAGTGTTAAAAACTACCTAGAAAACCTAGAACTACGCCGCCTTCGGTCCGATCTAAGTATAGTATATAAAATCATACATTGCAATGTCCTACCTGTCAATGAATACTTCAGCTTCAATCATAACAATACAAGAGCAGATACAAACTCAAGGTTAATCGCACCAAACTTGATTGCAGGAAATACGACTTCAGCAACAGAGTGGTCAATGTCTGGAATATTCCACCTGACTCTGTGGTTTCTTCCCCAAACCCCAAAAACTTTAATCTTAGATTGCCTACTATTGACCTCACCCCTTTCCTAAGAGGTCTGTAGGGATGTGCATAAGTGCATCAATGTGCCTACCATCCCTGTCCTATTGAAACTTTTTTTTTTCTTATATGTATCCATTTCATGTATTCATAACTATATATACTTATACCTGTTATCTGATAATCGCTTGACAAATCAATTTAGCCATGTCTGAAGTAAAAATGATAGAGCTAATCACAGGTTGGAGGTGGGTGGATGGGCCTATTACGCGCACAATGGCTAAATTGAACAATGATGCATAAAGGTGAATATCTCTCCAATGGTAGTTTTTACATTCTGAGTTTCAGGATTCCGGCATTTACCCCCAATTAAATCATGAGTCTCGAGCCAAACTTCTAAAACTTCAAAAGGATTTATTGGGGAGTTAACATGTCCGGCACTGCCTGGGTGTAACCAACTCTGAGACACATTGTCACCCTTGACCCTGGTTTTCTCCCACCCCCTGGGTGTATCATAATTCATATTCTCCAGTGGGACACATTCATAGCCAAGAGACATCAATCATGCTCTCCAGTTAGATATTTGCACGGCAGAAACTTCAGTCACCTAGTTACTATCTTTGAAAAACTATTTATGGAATGCACTTTTGATTTCCAAGCTGCTGCACTGCTATTTCAAAACCCCTCCCCTCCCCCCTTTCTGTTGGCAACTCTAAAAAGACCATAGAAATACTTCATGAGTTGACACTGATGATGTTAGCAGAGGCTAACAAAAGTTAAGTAGATCATATAGTTTTAAGTTCCGGAGATCGTGATGTCTATCTCTTCTTTTATAATTATATGTACATAATTATTTTTTAAGGGGTACAAGAATACATCAGAGACATTCTAGGGGTGCGGGCTATAGAAAAGGTTGGGGTCCCATATTCTATTGATTATCGGACAATGTCAGAAAACTTGGATAAACGTGTTCCTGTAGTCGCAAGAAAGTACTGTGTGCCCCGCACAGCTGCGTAAAACCATGGAAGGTAGAACTAACACAATGCTTATAAGGACTCATTGCAAGAGTCACTTCCAGCCTTAGAACATAAAATACAGGGAGTCCTTGATTTACGACCACAATAGAGCCCAAAATTACTATTGGGTAAGTGAGATATTTGTTAAGTCAGTTTTGCCCCGTTTTACGACCTTTCTTGCCACAGTTGTTAAGTGAATCACTGCCATTGTTAAGTTAGTAACACGGTTGTTAAGTGAATCTGGCTTCCCCATTGACTTTGTTCATCAGAAGGTCGCAAAAGGAGGAGGCAGCTGCTTTTGCTGATTGATAAACTGATCGATCTCAACCTTTGCAGATGGAAATTGAGTTGAAAGACCAGGTGCTGATTTTAGACGAAGCTCACAATATCGAGGACTGTGCCCGAGAGTCGGCCAGCTACAGCGTGACGGAAGAACAGCTCAAGTTGGCTCGAGAGGAGCTGGACGCTATGGTGAACAACCACATTAGACCGAACGACCACCAGCCTTTGCGTGCTGTGTGCTACAGTCTGACAAAGTAAGTGACGGCCACTGAGCAGCAGTGTAGCGAAAATGAGCTTCTGGACTTTGAGGCAGAAATGATCGTGTT